GGGGGGGGGGGGGGGGGCAACAGGTATCATTAGGGAAAGTGAAGCTACTGAGTATACCAACAGCATCAATTAAACAGCATGGGTGCAGGAATAGATACATAACTTGCATACGTTAGCAGCAAAAAAGAAGGAAAAGTTATGAACACATGAGTATGTCAGACCAAGGCTTTTTTGGGTAAATGTGTTATTTCATTAGAACAAACTGAATAGTTGGAAAATTGTTCTTTGCAAGCTTTCGGGCACAAGCACTTCTTCAGGCATGGGGTGGGGCTGGTGTTTGACACTCCCTATGCCTGAAGAAGGGTGCTTGTGCCCAAAGCTTGCAAAGAACAATTTTTCCAACTATTCAGTTGGTCTAATGAAAGATAACACATTTACCCAAAGAACCTTGTCTGCCTATGTCCTTAGACCAACATGACTACAACCAACATCCCTGAAACTTGGAGGGTGTTGAGTATTTTCAGGAAAATCATAAGAAAGACTGATCTATCAAGGCATCATTTCATGCAAGGTTGTTTCAAGATCACAGAAGGGACAGTCTGATAGGACAACTGTGATTCTGGAGTCAGACATTAAAGCTCAGGATAAGGCCTGGCATTTGACTTGTCAGTATTTCCAGAAGGTGTTGCCAGGAGACTGGATTACTGTGTGAACCACTTGCAGAACACAATGAGATGCCCAGTGGCACAACGCTTCTTGACTTCATTTCTGATGCAGGTAGGATCACATGACAGAGGCTGAAGCTAGAGAAAGAGGTCTCAAAGCAAGACAGCCTCCATGTCATTAGGGAAAGTTGAGCACTGGTGCTGTTTGCTTTGGGAGGTTGGCTTGCAATATCAATGGATATCTTGGGCAAGTCTCATGTCTTTTGAAGCACATGTTTTCGTTCAGATGACGCAGAATTATAGTTTGTGTGCATGTAGTAAGGCAGAGAAACCCAAGGAGTTGTAGCAACCCTTGGTGGATTATGTTGCCTTCCCTTGTTCACCTTCCTTCCTCCTGAACTTCTACAATGCTCCTATTAGATGCTTCCACTGTGTTAGACTACTTCAACCAAGTTGAATTAAAACCAAGCCCATGCTTCAGGGCTTCTGCTAGCTGCTTACGGAGGCCAAAACAAATTCCCCATCTCCTGAATGCCTAATCTTTGCTTTTGGGGGTTCTTCCCCTCCTTTCTCTAGTATTGAGAAACACAGTATTGAAGATGGGCCACAGTGTAAGTGGGCAGGATGCACTGGTGCTTCAGCTTCAGTAGCTGGGTCTTGCTGTCCTTACAATAAACCCATCATCTGATAAAGCCTCAGGAAGGAACCTTTCCCAGAACAGATCAGCAAGGGCTGTAGGGGAGGGGAGGTGGGGTGAAGTGGGGG